AATGTCATACTTTGAGCTAAATTACTGAAAAGATAACCACAGGATAAGAATAAATGTCGCAGCTGCAATGTGGAAGCCAAATTTGCTTGCTGGCAGGTGAGGGAAGACTGAACCAATGTTCCTGAAGAATATGAGGATGCTTGGGACCTACCTTCTCACCCACAAAAATAAATGAATAAACTGGGATTCTTCTTAAGACAGGATCAGAGAAGCAGCCAAGGTATTTACATAAGCATATATACCCCTTTGCTGTGCTAGCTAGTTAGACAATGCTACGAAAATGAAACCGGGAGCTCACTGAACATACCCATGCTCTGGAGGAACAGCAAGTTCAAACCTATACTTGGGTTTCACAGAAGGTTTTGTTTTGTTATGAGGTTGAAGCACATTTCCAGTGTGAAAATTCTTCACCCATGTTTTGTTCTACATTGATGTGTGACTCTGTCACCAGACCTTGTGGTTTGGGGCCACGCCACATCTTACTGCTGAGCTGTCCTATTTTCTGAATGCAAAGACTGAACCTAAGAAGTCTGGTTTCTCTCTTGCTTGGTATATGCTTTACACTGGTGATGTTCCTTGCCTTTCTACAACAGGAAGAACAACAGCTCGAGGAATGGGAAGGAATGCACTTTTGAGGGTCCTAACTGCTCAATCTGCAGTAATTTCAATAGGTAGAGCCCTGGTGTCACTACAGGGAGCTGAAAGCTGTGCCACCAAGCACAGTTTCTTTCAGCTCTTGCCTATGTGTCTTCTGCACTCACCTTGAAGTTTATGGTGTAGGTATTTTCCTCAGAGGAGGTCTCTTCTGAGAGTCCTCCTAGTTTTCTGTTCCTTCACCAGAGCTTTCAGTGTGTGGGTCTGGGAGGTGTGGTTGTCAGGGATTGTCACCTGAGGATGCCATTCCCAGCAACAGGGATAAAAGTCTTGTGGTCATGATACAAGGCCAGAAGATGCTATTGTGATCATCTGTATGGTGTGATGCAATACAATCAGTCAAAATGAACTGTGGAAAGGGCTTGATTGAAGAAAACCTGTTTCTAAATACAGTTATTTTATTTCCTATCTGTTTTCAACAGCACTGCCTCTTCAGACTATTTCCCTCTCTCCTCAGTTATTAATCTCTTCTTCTCCTAGTGTGGAGAGACTCACAACTCATACTATAGAGTCAGTTTTCCTCCTCTGCCCCCTTGGGCACTTATGAAATGTAACCAAACCCAAATCAACCCATTAGACTCCTTCCATACTGAACATTTTGCTCTTTTTTTGAAACACCTTCTAGAAATGGAGCTGGTACCTCAGAAGATGTAAATCAGCATCAGGGGATTTTTTACAGCCAAAGAGATTAAAATTATAACAAGATAAATAAATCTCAACAGATTTCAATGGGTTTTCTGTCTAGTCAAAACCATTCAATTTTAAGTAAAATTGAAGATTTGATTGATTTATTTTTATTATTTTGCTGGATAACTACATGAGGGACTAAAATGCAGAGACATCTCCTGCAGCCTCTAATCCTCTGGTTTTGAAATGTCCCCTGGCTACTTGCCATCTGAAGTGCAGGGTGTCACTATGCTCCGTGTGTCAGCTGAGGTTTGGGATGACTATGGCCAGCACCAGATGTTTCTTGCATGTTCACAAGTGCCAGGAGGTCTCTTTCCTGCCATTTACCAACAGTTTATATTCACAGGATACTCGGTCCTTCTCAGAGAACTCCAGCTTATTGTCCTGATGATACATTTTGAAAAGGAGTTCACTGTTGCTCTTTTGAACTTCCTCTTCCTTGTCCTCATTTGTTAATGGATTTCATTCCTCCCCAGCGGTTACTCATCCCTGAATGCTTAAATTAGTTGGAAAGGTTATTTCTATAACTGGTGGTCATTGAGAATCTTTGTCAATGAGCATTAATAGACATGAATGTATTGAGAAAAACATGAAAATCATCTCTGTGGGTATTATCACATTTTATCTCTCTGATTTGGTATCTTTGAAAGTGGTTGGTCAAGCACTTTATAATGAAGAACTTTGCACTATTGTATTTGTGAAGGAATTTTCTTCCTTGTCCCAGCCACTTGATGTATTTTGTGGTTGGTTTTTAAATATTATAAGATTTTTAGTATTTGTAACATCTAATTGTTCATTCACGGCTGTATCTCAGGGCGCATCATCAGCTTTCAGAAAACCTCTTTTTCAACACACCCTAATTCTGACATTAGTACCTTTATTTTGGAAAATAGTTGCTAAGTGAGAACTATATTTAAAAAAACTTCTGTAACAGGATTTAAACATTTTATTCATGCATTAACATAGGCAGCTTAAAAATTATATTCTCATGATTTACTTTGGCGAAATATCTATCTGGAGTCACTGGTCTTGTAGTGATTTATCTACTCTCACTATTTGTACTGGATTTGAAAGGGAGTGCCTCATTCTTAAACTAATTGCCTGTCATTTATTCCACGGGAAATACTTTTATAAGGATAAGGGGCTAAAGGCCAACTTTTCAAAGGCATGTAGGCACCTCAGGATGAAGACAGGCACTAGGAAAGCACCGAGGCACTTGAGGTGCTCCTGGAAAATTCTGTGGGTGTTTGGCTGTGCCTTTAGGTGCCCACGTACCTTCAATCTGTTCATAAGACTTTTTTCTCTGGCCAGAAGACAGGTTTCCAGAGCAGCTGTGAAAGAGACATGTCTCTCTCCCTGAGAGAGACATGGGGAGTACAGAAGCTGCTCCCCTTTCTCTTATCCCAGGATGTGATTAAACTGAGCTGGGTGGGAAATGCGAGGGAGCCTCACAAATGTCATTTGTAGAAAATATAACTTTAATCCTGGGCTTTAAATGATGTCACAGCACAGCCACTGTGCTAGGAATTACTCTCTGAGGGGCTGGATGGTGTCACATCCATGTGGAACACACTACACTGCAATGAGACGTGCAGTGAACCTCCAAGGCTTGCAGGCTGACCCCGTCCCACCTGGAGACATTTTTCCTTGAAGGTTCCATGATGGTGCCAGAGGGTTTTTCACTGCACCCGAGCTGGTGAATGGCTGTCTCTACCCCCACCCATGGGATGTGACACTCGAGGTTCCCTACGAAGTGCAACGCCACTGCTTGCAGTGAAATTCAAATGCTTGCTGGAGGGAACAATGGGAAAATGTGTTTATATACACATCCCGTCTCACTTGTTCCCTTCCTGCTCAGTCACATTGCACTGTTCTAAGAAAGGTTTCTTGTCCTGGTCACATTTCTCTTTGCTTTCTGTCTTGTTTCTGTGTGGATTCCCTTCTTTTCTTGCAAGAACTTCTTTCCTTGTTTCATCATATGTCCTCTTCTGGTCCTCCTTTCCTTCTCCTCCCTCAGTAATTAGCTTCAATCTGTGTGCTGCTGCTGTACAATGCCTTAACTTTCCTCTCTTCATCCTTCATCCCATTTCTCATTTCTATGGTTCTCTTGTGCTCCTTCCCCTCTCCCCTCCCCAACTTTCCTCAGGTTCCTCCAGATTTTTAGCTCTTTATTTTTTTTCTTCCTACCCTCTGTCTCTCTTTAAAAATTTAATTGGCATGCTTTCTTCAAGCTGTCTTAGAAAGCCTTATTTTTTTTCTTCTCTCTTTTCAGCTTCTTTCCTGAATTGCAGTCACACCAGTTCTGCTTTCCTGACTGCAGAGTCACAGCAGCTGTGGTGCAGCAGAGCATCTGAAAAGAAAATGCTAATAGGGGTTTTTATAGTATACAGTAAAAGGCTTTGATTAAAAAAATAATAATGCTACACCTCAATGCTACCTCTAACCCAGACTATTGCTTCTTGAGAGTTTCCTTCTAGAGCCTCCACTAAGAAAGCAGAATCCATAACTTCATGTGCCATCTCCCTGCCTGTCATAACCACAGGCAAAGCCTGATTAGTAATTTTCTTTAGAGGGAAGCAAAGAAGCAGTATCTGTGTAATGGCATCTCCCCTGTGCCTGATCAAGATCATAAAGAGTGTGCAATTTTATGGATGTCCTGCCAATATATCAAGTACTGATTTTACATAGAAGCATCTCATCAGACACTTCCAGATCAAACTGGTTCTGCAAACATTTCTCCATGAGAGTTCATTAAAATCCAGACAGGAATTTGTTCCAGCCATACTAATGTCCCCCTCAGGTCAGCTTTCTGTGAGCATTCACAGTTTATTTATCACCAACAACTAGTCTATACACATTTCAGCCTTGGATGGGTCAGTATTTCCACATATAGATACTGGAGTTCATGGTCATCCAGCTTAGGACAAGGAACACGTCATAGACTCAGCTACACCAAAGCAAATTATTTCCTCTAGAAAAGAGAGAAATCTGTTTAAAATAATGCAATATTATGTAAATTATGAAAAAAATCTCCTCAGTGCTGAATATTTTTGTAGAGTAGTGAGAATCTGATCATTTGCTGGCAGAAATTCAGAAAGAGGTAAAATACATTAAAGTAAATGGTTTCTCTCAAATTACTTATCCATAGAGCTACTTTAAAAGACATCTTTGTAACCCAAGACAACCCCCAAGGCTTAGCCCATAATTTCCTCTGGTTAAATCCTCGTTAAAGAGGAGTCCTAATGGGGTCTTGTAGGACACCACTGAGCTTCCACCTGCTGCCAACCCTATCCCACCCCGATGTCTCTCATGCCCACAGTGATTTTAACCTGCTCTTCTCTCATGCTCAGAGCTCCCTGAGTTGAGGATGATTTGGTGGGCTGTGACAAGTGGAAAACCGGAACCAAGGCACAGAAATAAAGAAGTGGCAGGACACGAAGGATGGGAAGCGATCTGGGCTGGCCTGCTCCATCCCACAGACTGTATGCAGGAACAGCACCTTCCTTTGTGCAGTGCTCTGGGAGGCCAAGGTGGAAAAGGCTCTAATGGAATTCCTGCAGGGACAGTTTTCCCTGGCTCAGTGGGAGCTGTTTGCACACAGACGCCACGGAGTAAGCTGCTAGGTGTTTATTAACTCAGCTTGCAAGAGGAGGGGAAGGGCAGAGGAAAAGCGCTGAGGGGAAAATGCCGCTTAAAAAGACAGACCACCACCCCCTGCTGTCCACCGGAGCTGAGGGAGCTGCGCCTGAGCGAGGTCCTTGTAACCTGTCTGGTAAGTTTTAAAGGATGTTTTCCCTCTCTCTAACTGGCTGGTGCGGATGTGTGTTACGAAACAGCAATTAAAATATTCAGCCAAAGGCTTAACCCTTGACTGTTTGTGTGTTTCACCCCCCGTTTAGTGACCCGGCGTGTATTGTGGGGCCTGCCGGACACCTCTCCCGCCCCGAGGTGCGGCCTTGCTGCTGTGGGGCTCGGCGGCACTCAGGCCGAGAGAGCCCCGCGGGGATGAATAGAGCCCTCGGCCCGTCGTTTAGGCCATCCAGCCGCTCTGTGTTCTTTGTCAGGGCCAAACAAGCTCCATATCATTACGCTAGCATTCGCTTGCCCAGTCTCATTATTAGGTGCATTAGCTGTGGGAACTAAATCCATGACAAAAAAAAAAAAAAAAAAAAAAGAGGGGGTGGAATTGGCTCGCACAAAAAAAGGCTTTCCCAGCTCAGGCTAACAACTTGTGCCTATTAACTAAAAACGATCATTAGAAAATTCCCTGCAGACTTAAAGCTTCAGCAGAAGCTTGTTTCACGTATGCACTTGCCTTGTTACATGAACACATAACCAGCCTTAAAGAAACATACCCTCCCATACTTGGATCGGGATTGGGAAAGGGGCTTCCAGGCAGGCACTGCACTGTCTTTAAAATAAATGTTCATTCTCTCTGCTTTTTCCAGCAATTCTGCTTAAAAAATACTGTGCAACTAGGAGGTAATAAATCTATAGCCTTAAAAAGGGAAGGATATTAGAGAATAACCATGTCAGTTTGGGGTGGTTACTGAAAAAAAAGGTAAGAAGTGTGAAAGGAGAGGTGTGCTAATGTCTTTACAAGCAATAGGTGAAAGTATGGGTGTTAACGTCTTTGACATGGGTCTGAATGTTTCTACCAGCTTCAAGCCACAGTTTTCTTACAGAACCCAGACAGTTTGACTCCTGAAGCAGAAAAATGGGACCACATCAGCCTGAGTTTCTGAACTTTGGGGTAAAATGACAGGTTCAAGGTGGGATATGTGATAGGCAGTTCAGTAAGGTTGTACCTTCCTAGTACCTCAGCCAGTGGGGAAGGGAAGAGGGCAGCATGTGGCCAGGAGTTGAGGATAAAAGGAGCTGTGCCCTCCAGAACCTCGAGGGAGAAAACCCCGTGGGTGTGCCACAGGGGACTCTCCGTTTATTTGAATAAAGTTGCAGGACTCCTCTGTCTCCTTTATGGACACTGGCTTTCCATAGCGTGATTTTCCGTACATGGAACTTATTTTTTTTTAATATTATAATGTCCTTTTATAGAGGTCAAACCACAGAAGAAATCATTGAGATCAGGTCTCCATGAATTGCATGAAGATAGTTCTCTATAAACAGCAAACTGTCTTTGTGGACATTCATGGAATCTTCCCTGGCAGCTTTACTATAATTGCAACAAACCTCAAGACAACAGGTAGATCCATGGGGATCCCCAGGCTGCTCAGGAGCCATGGGGAGTTTTCCATTGGGTGGGAATGTATAGACATGTCAACTCAGATGGTTACTCTGGCTTTTGGCACTGGGAAAGCTGATCCCTGGGACATGGTTGGTTGGTTGGTTGGTTGGTTTCTCTGGGATTTTTGTGGGTCCCACTTTCAGTGCTCCATGGCTTTCAAAGGCAAAAAATACTTCCCAGCTAAGCATAGAATCTGCTACTTGATCAGTGGCTCAATTCACAGGCTTCTGATTAACAGTTTTTCCTCCTAGAAGATGCTTTTTTTCTTAGTAATTCCTAATGCTAAGAATTTTTTAGGTTGTGTGATAGTCTTTCAAGGAAATGATGAATTTTCCAGTCTCTCAGTCATACAAAGATAAGCAGGACACCTCTCTGGAGATTACAGGGGGCAGTATTTTCCTGACAGCAAAAACAAATGCAAAGCCTTTCCCACCCTTAATGAATGCACAGTGGTTCTCTTCTGGTTACCAAGCATCAGAAACAGGTCCCTAAATTCAGTTGATTTAAACCAGTGATAAATAACCATGGCTTAGCTATTCCCTCTCCTGAGTGTTCACCATTGACTAGTGTGGTGGAGCAGGCAGCAGGCTGGGAGTTGAATGATGCTCCCCATGGGAAGGTAATTTGGGAACCAACAGATTGGGCAGGGTGGTGTCTCACCAGCCAGGGTGCAGCCCTGCAGCACCTGAATGCAAAAATGTCACAGGACCTGAGTGCCAGTGAGCAGGAGCAGCCATCCTGGTCAGTGATGGCCAGGAAAATTGGGAGAAATGAGGCAGGATTCTGGTATGGATCAGTGAGGTGCATGGCCAGGCACAGGCACAGCTGCTTTGCAGCTCATGCAAACACCAGGGCTGAGGGCCTTAAAGGGTGGCTCCCAAGGGAAGAGGAGAGTCTCCCAGTGAGGCTTGTCCTAGCTCTTTCCCAGCAGTCAGATCCAAGGTCACACAGCTGCACCACGGTTGGGCTGGGCTGGGGCACAGGCAGCTGAACCCCAGGGGTGTGCACTGGGGTCTAGCAAGCATCTGGATGGGTGCAGAGGTGACACTGTTCTGCTGCTCCCACAACCCTCCACTGGAAATGGTGGAATGGACACAAGGAACCCATTCTGTCTGTGCTTTGCTTGTCCAGTGTTTGTCCTCTCAGGCCAAGGCTTTACAATGGAACCAGACACTCTGGGCTGAGCCAGCCCTTGGCTTCCTGCTCTGGCATTCTTTCCTGGTGCTCCATTTGCCCACCCAGGCTGTGAAAAATCTCCCTCACAAGGAAGCCCCATCCATATGGCAGCCTAAGGTCATGCTCGTGTGTGGCTGTGCAACCAAAATGTGGGGATGCCAAAAGCAGACTCTGTGATCTGCTTCCCTTTGGCTCATCCCTACCCCCTGTGGAGACCAATCATGGCATGCACCTGGAATAGATGCAGATTTAGGGAACTGCTTGACCAACAGTCTTGCATAGGTTTCATTCAAACACATGTCAGCAGTTTTTGCTCTAATCCCACTTCTCTTCAGTGCTCCTGAATGGTGGCTACAATGCCAGCAAGCACAGTCTTAGCAGAAGGTTTATCTCCTACCATTTCCCCCTTGAGGGCACTTTTCTCCCAGATAAAAGTGTCTTTGGATCTGTCAGGCTGAAAGAAGAACTCCATAGTGCTCTGACTCCTCATGGAACAGATGGCAGGGAATGAGCAGCCTCGGTGCCCATTCAACACAATAGAGACTGGGATATTTAAGGAACTCCTCTGCTGCTTCCTTATGAGATATCAGATCACAAACTACACATTCTTGTCTCTCCCAGCAGAGAAGAAACTCCTGCTCAGAGCAGTGCTCAGCTTTGAGAGAAGGTAATGAGCAAGTTTTTGAGCATTTTGGGTTTCTCACTGTTGCTGGACTCCAGAACAGGGGTATTTGGTAGGTTAAGGACCACACGGGTTAATTTCAATCAAACTGATAAACAGAGATGTCTGGCACTGACAAAGCAAGATAACGTCCAAAACTGAACAGAACTTAAGAGACCAAGGGACATGGACAGAACCCAATCAGACCTGCTCACCTTCCTCCTCCTTCTCCTCACTTCGTGCTTCCTACAAAAGAAATTTAATATTTTGGAAAAAAAAATTGCAGGAGCTAGGATATGTGTGCCATAAGGCCTTTCTCAGATGCCAAATCAAGCAACTTGTGGAGATTTAAAAAGGAAACATGTCTGCTATAATAAACCTGCATTGCACTGTTCTTTCATCCTGATTGTTGCAAGCAATTTTGGGTCTGCTGACATTAAAAATTATGATCTGTTAAAGCATGTTGATTTCAGATGCTTACAGCTTTTCAAAGCACCCTTTTTTTTCTGAGAAGGATATTTTCCCATCTTAGTGTGGGAAAAAATAAATTTCTGGAAGTTTCAAATCCCAAATATGTAATTTTGTAAGAAGCTTTTGCATTAAAAAAAATCCTTCTTGAATGAAAAAGACAAGGTGAGCTGATTTTGCTGTGGGAATAACAAAAACTAGCCAAGATACAAAATATTTCATAATACAGACATTTTCAGGTGTATTGCCTTCTTTTTACTAACCTGCTACTAGCACAGTGTAATACACACAAATCTTCCTGCAGGACTTGTTTTTGATGTTTTTTATCATCTTCAGGATGATCTGAAGAGTCCTGCTGCCTATCCTTGGCTAAAAGTTTTGCTTTCTCAGCATCAGTGCCTGAGGAAAATGAAAGGTGTTCTTATTTTTGTCAAGTTCCACCAGTTCTAACAGGTCTCAGCCAGTAATTTGGGAGTTCCTCAGAGTTTTACTACATCAAGTTCTTTATGTGTTGGCCCAGTGTATCAAGATGAATGAAATCAGAGTCAGAGGAGTGAATTTACATGGGTTTATTGCAGATGTTATAAAAAGCTTTAGGCATCCCTCCCTCTGAGCATTTGCTCATACATCAGGTACTCCCAAACCATGGGATGCTCTTGATGCCAAATCCTTTTGGGTGCTGCAGTGATTCCAGGGTACAAGAAGTTTGTGGAGTTTCTAGATCAAGCTGTTTTGGCCATTTCTTTGGGTTTTTAGTTGGTTGTAGTTTCTCTGTATGAGTGAATTAGAAAATTAAATAGCTGTTTACTTTTTTTCCCCCCCCTAAAGAAAAAGAATGTTTTCTGTATTATTCTGCATTATTACAGAAGATAGTCTGTAAGAATAATTTCTTGAGCTACCCCTCTTCATGTTCTGAGCTCAAGAGAGACCTGCTGAGGCAACTGTTTCAGATGGAAAAAATTTCTTCCAGAATGTGATTAAAAAACATTATTTGAGTGTTATCTCCAGTAAGATTAACTGAGATAAAATAAATCATGTAATTGATGAACCTTCATTCAATTGACTTGCAAATGGTGATCATGGAATTTCGTGAAATTTCAGCTTTTGTTGAGTAATACTTTTCTCAGTGGTGTCAGTTTTTTCTTAGGTGTGGAATGGAATCCTTGTTTCCTGACTAGCCTTGGAAATTATCTCATTGACCTATTTAAAATTTAGTTGTGTCGCTGTTGTGATCCATACACATATCTCAGTGGTCAACAGAAATATTTTGCTGCAAATATTTGAACTTCCAGCCAGTTTACTGGAAAAAATGTCATCAGAGCTAATGTCCCTGTTCCCTGAGGAATGTAAATTCTGCTGTTAGGTTTCTAAAGCAAATCACAAATGTTCATTCCAGCTGCTTCATGGAACTGTTCTGCAGAATTTAGGTAGAATTTATCCTGAAACAAGAAAGCTTTTCCATAAAAATTCACTGGGCTGTTTGCTGTGAAGACCAAGCATGAGCAAGATGAGAAGTGGGACTGATGTGCTGGAAACAGTGAATGAGAATTTGCTGAAAAATTACAATTTTCCTGAAACCACAGATATCAGAGAATCATGGAACAGTTTTGGTTGGAAGAGACCTTAAGGATCATCCAGTTTCAAGCCCCTGCCATGGGCAGGGACACCTGCCACTATCCCAGGTTGCTCAGAGCCCAGTCCAGCCTGGCCTTGGACACTGCCAGGGATGGAGCAGCCACAGCTTCTTGGGAATTGATTCCCAAATGCCAATTGCAATAGGCATTGATCAATAAATAACGGTGACATTAATTGCTGTTAATATTAGTCTAACTAATATAATTACACAGGTTTTGATTTTCTTTTTTTTTTCTTTTCTGTTCTTTTTTTTTAGTTGTTTTTCATGATGTGAGCCACTGATTTTGCCTCCAGTTCAAAACTTGATCTAATTCCAGGAATGCCTGAAAACATTCACTCTATCTTTTCTGCTGGGAAAAAAAAAAATATCTCTCAACTTACTGTTAGCTCTCTGCTCCAAAAATAAAATGTACAGTACGTAACAAATTTGGTCTGACAGCATTTTCCCAGCTGGAAGGATGGAACTTCTTAATTGGTATATAAATAAATAGTGGTTTGATCCTGCTCTTAAATATATATTAAAAAAAGAATTTTGGCCTTGCCTCTAGTATGCATAGGAACAGATCTTCCTTTCTAACAGAAACAGTAACAGGAAAGGACTCTTCATTGAACCCAATTTATAAGTTCAATCCAAAGTCTAAATGCACTGAAATAAATTAAAGTCCTGCTGCTGCTGTTGAGGAAGGCCCATGAAGCTCCCTGTGTCTCTTGACATATGGTTTCCATACCACTTTAGTTCATAAATCATCATTTCGAATTGCTTTCAAGTTTGACATGAGAACCTCAAGTGTTGTTGAATCATCAAATAAATTGCTGCTTAGCGAGAAGATGCTCCCATGAATTGAAGTTTACCTTGTGTTTTCAGAGTAAAGGAAGTGATAATTTAGATGAGGAATTCACCCAGAATAATTGGGTGGTTTTCACTTTTGCTACCTGGCAATAAATCAAAACTAAATGCAGACACCAATCTGCAAATCCAGAAACTAGAAGAGGGACAAGCACATTGGTCCAAACACATAAAATGTGTTTATTTGCAACACAAGGCACCCTGAAATACTCATTCCTAGTGCACCTGAACACTCCAGCTGCATTGTTTGGTTGAAGTTCCCTTGGCACTGGAGGTTTTACAGTGGGAGACATGCAGCAAATGCCCACAGCCTGAAGCTTCTCACCCCAACTCGTGTCACCTCTGAATCCATACCCAGAAGGATCCTCAGAAGCCCAAGAGCCTGACCTTTCTGGGATGTGTCTTCTTTTTCCTCATAGCCCAATAATTTATGATTCATCTTGAGAAAGGAGAAGGTCTGTTTGGGGAAAAGTGGGAGAAATCCAAAACACATCTAGCTCCTGAAAAAGGACAGCCCCACCAAAACCAGCCAGTAAACATCTTGTTTCCTGGCTCCATCTGTGTGCAGCACATAGACCAGAGGCTTTGAAAAGCTCTCCGTGCCAGAATGTGAGATAAACGTGTCATTAGGGAACTCCCTTTTTCTGTTTCTGGGGTGCTGGCACACCTTTGATTAAAATACTTCAGTTTAAAGCACAGTGCACCAGTCTGGGCGTGTAATATTTGTACGAAGCTTAAGATGGTCCTGCCATAACACTTCTGTCGCCCCCATTGTGCAAAATTGGACCAGAAATCTCATGAGAATGAGCTTACTCATGAGATATCTCCTAATTCTGGCTTCCAGTTATGCTGTAAATAGTATGAGAACTGCCTTTCTAGCAGTTTTAGGGAATTTGGCTCCCAGCCATTGCTAGAAAAGCCCAAGCTGCGACCTAAGTGAAAAGCAAGGGGAAAAGACAAATGCTCCAGATTTTCAGAAAGTTCTTTATTAGTGCCAGAAGCTTGTCTTCTCCTCTGTGTTCTTCTGCTCAGGTGGAATGGCCTCTGTTTGCAAGGACATGCTTTTGTGAGGTCAGGGACCTTGCAGAAGGCACAGTGCTCTGTAATCAGGTACTTTGATGGTTGGATACAGCTGTTCTGTGGAGTTTCTGAGGAATACAAAGCTATGCCAAAAGCTGCATGGCAAGCTCAGGACTCTGTCTACAGCTCTTCAGCAACAGAGACTCTTGATGCCATTGCTTCTTTCTCCTCTGCCTCCTTCAGAGGTGCTGGGATGGTGCCCTTTTCCCTACCCTGCGATTCCCTGCCCTGCCAGCTACCTGCCCTGCCTCCCAGGTTGCATTTTCACTACTGAGTCCAGGAACTCAAGGCTCTGCCTCCTAGCAAAGCCCTTGGGCACTTCTGTGTGCAAACAGTGTCTCAAAAAGAAGCTGGGCCTTTGCAGTTAGGTGGTTTTCTAAATTTCAAGAAACCCTCTGTGCAAATAATCCCGGTACCCCAGAAAGCAATCTCTGCTTTCAAAACTAAAGGCAAAAGTCATGCTCTACAGGCCTAAACTTGAGTACTGGATTCTATCTCATATGCAAATTATTCTTTGCCTTGTATCAAAAGTACTACTAAGCATGTACCTATAAACATTCATTAGCTTTAATTACACTGAGTACGCTTGTGAGGGGGACTTGGGCTACCTGACTTAGTGCACTACTAAGAGTTTCTGAGGCTGAAAATGTCACACAGAAATTATTACATGTATCAGAGGTGAAACATGGAATCATAGAATCATAGAATATTCTGAGTTGGCAAGGACACACCAGGATCGTTGAGTCCAACTCCTGGCACTGCCCAGGACACCCCAACAGTCCCACCCTGTGCATCTCTGAGAGTGCTGTCCAAACACTCCTGGGGCTCTGGCAGCCTTGGGGCTGTGACCATTCCCTGGGGAGCCTGTTCAGTGCCCAACACCCTCTGGAGGAAGAACCTTTCCCTGATATCCACCCTAACCCTCCCCTGACACAGCTCCAGCCATTCCCTGGGTCCTGTCCCTGGTCACACAGAGCAGAGATCAGGGCCTGCCCCTTGTCTTCTCTTTGTGAGGAAGCTGTAGAACTGCTGTGAGCTCTGACCTCAGTTCTGCTCTTCCCCACATGAACAGTACATGTAACACAGCCTTGTTTGTAGTATTAGTAGCCAAGTTACTGCGTTTTCATAATGCTCAACAGTCACTTCCAAATATTTTTCAACAGATATTGAAAGCACAACAGGTGATTTAAAATTGCCAGGAAGAGATGGGTCCCTTCAGTAAATCATGAAGTAAGTAATGATTATCACAGAAAACATCTTGTTTAAAGCCTGCACCTCATTAAAAGATGGTTGCTTCTCTGGGCAGCCTGTGCCAGGGCCTCACCACTCTCACAGGGAACAATTTCTTCCCAATATCCAATCTGTACCTACTGTCTCACTTTGGAGCCGTTCCCCCTTGTCCTGTCACTCCAAGCCCTTGTCAAGAGTCTCTCTCCATCTTTCCTGTGGGTTCCCTTCAGGCACTGGAAGGCCACAGTGAGGTCACCCCAAAGCCTTCTCCTCTCCAGGCTGAACAATCCCAATTCCCTGAGCCTTTCCTCCCAGCAGAGCTGCTCCATCCCTCTGATCCCTTGGTGTCCCTGCTCTGTCGTGGCTCCAGCAGCTCCTTGTCCTTGCTGTGCTGGCCCAGGGCTGGGTGCAGCCCTGCAGGGGGGTCTCAGCAGAGNAAGAAGGAAAAGTTAGTTCTTCCAAGCAATTCCTACCATTAGCTAAATAATACCATTATCACAGCAAATACTATATACCTTGAGAGGACAAGGGTTGGTTTTTGTGAAATGTATAATTGTTGTACATGTGTTGACTGCACAGGACTGTCCCTGAGCTCCAGCATGATTAGTCAGGTGGTTTCTTGTAAGTGCTTCTTGAGTGCCTGGATGAATCACCCCAGTTTGAGGTTTGTCATTTTTTTAGTATTTTGGTAACACATCTTAGCCAGTAGAACAATTATCTATATTTGTTTGCTTTTGATTTGACATTTCTTCACCAGAAGAGCTTTGGGGAGGTTGGTGGCTTTCTGCAGCTCACAGTCTGAATGGGAAGATGAAGTTCACTCACTGTGTTTATATGTAATGTCTTAGCAACTGTAAAAACACCCTGGGGCCTTCACAGACATGCTGGAGGATGCAGTCATAGCCTAGGGCAACTTTCATTCTCCATCAACAGCCAGAAGGTGTGGAAAAGCCATAAGTAAAGCTCTGAGAACAAGAATAAATTTGACCCCATTAGCTGTGGCTTTCCAGAAGGTTGTAGATACCACAGAATCATGGAATGGGCTGGGTTGAAGGGACCTTAAAGATCATCCAGTTTCAACCCCCTGCCATGGACAGGGACACCTGCTACTATCCCAGCTAGCTCCAAACCCAATCCAAGTTTGCCTTGGACACTTCCAGGGACGGGGCAGCCACAGCTTCTCTGGGAAACCTGTGCCAGGGCCTCACCATCCTTACAGGGAAAAATTTCTCCCCAATATCCAATCTAAACCCGTTCTCTGTCAGTGTGAAGCCATTGCCTCTTGTCCTGCAGGTCCTTGTCAAGAGTCTCTCTCCATCTTTCCTGTGGGCTCCCTTCAGGCACTGGAAGGCCACAATGAGGTCACCCCAAAGCCTTCTCCTCTCCAGGCTGAACAATCCCAATTCCCTGAGCCTTTCCTCCCAGCAGAGCTGCTCCATCCCTCTGATCCCTTGGTGTCCCTGCTCTGTCGTGGCTCCAGCAGCTCCCTGTCCTTCCTGTGCTGGCCCAGGGCTGGGTGCAGCCCTGCAGGGGGGTCTCAGCAGAGCGGGGCAGAGGGGCAGAATCCCTTCCCCACCCTGGTTCTACAACTGATTCAAACATCATTTATTAGTTTGGGGGTTTTGTCCCTGCTAGTTTGTAAATTAATTTATTCCCAACTCTAGGGTAAAACCACGTCAGCTGTCCTTTGTAATTTACTGTTTGTGAATGTGAATATTGTGCCCCCTTCCACCTGATACAACATCCCAACCCCCCACTCTTTAGAGTGTTTAAGTGTCTAATTGTCAGTATTTTCAATGGGGTTTAGATGCCTGTGCACTTTGGGACTGATTCAGTCATCTTCTAAAATTTGGTACTGAGATAAATATCCTGATTGGCCTCATGCAACTGTGAGGGTCTGAGCACATGGGACTGGAGACTGGTTGTACAGGAGCCTTTGTAAAACAAGGACTTTCAATTGAGTTTATAGGGAACACCTGTGGAAACCTCTATATACATGACACACAACCTCCAAACAATTTTCCAGTGACTTGTGTTGAGGAATGTTATGTACTGATAATTCTCACTGTATTTACTTTTCAAGTTCTTCATGTTGTAGCAAGTAACATACACACACATGCACACACACACACACTCACAAGGTCTTTGCAAACATCTGTGGGGACACCAAATATGCAAACTGTAGCCACAACAAATTCTTCATAATCAGCCAAGAAGTTGAAACAGATTTTCATAAAATCTTTGTTAAATGGTGAAAATATCAGCAGTCATCGAAGCCTTTTTAGTCAGCATGTATCCCCAGAAGGGCTGCATCATATGGGGAGTTTCAAGCCCATCAGGGTGTCCTCTACAGGACCAGAGGCTCCTCCTCCTTCTTTATAAGACTCTTGTGAGCAAAAAGTGTGGCAGAGTAATGTGCAGTTATTTGCATGGGCAGCCATCAGACACTGGGAGCATTCAGGAATGTTTATGAATTCCATTGCTGCAGTATCCAAGCATCTCCCAGCTGTTTATGCATTGCTTCTTCCTTAAGCTCCATGTAACAGGGATCTCTCCATCCCATTTTCCAGGTCCAGCACCTGAGCACAGCTGGGACAGTTCATAATGCCAGCACTCTGCAGGAGCATAAAGGGGCAGAGGGACATCTAGTGGGATCTCTACTCTCTCTGCTTTTGCAGGCCACCAGAAATGTCCTCACAAGGTTCACCTCACCTGTGACACATCTTCAGAGCAGCACCCAGATCCTTCACTTCATGAGGATGCTGGGGCTGGATTGTGATTCAGGCTATGGATCTTGTGTTTATACTTTCTGAAGATTCACAGCCTGCTGTGAGTAAAGGCAAGAGCAGTGACTAATCTGATTTCTGTCAGAGAGCTCACCTTGACAGACTTTCAGCAGCAGTGAGGTTGAAGGCATTTTGAAGGTTATCTTTATAAAAAAAGGACTGGCAACTTACACTGGAAAAAAAACTAAAGTGTGATTAGCAACTTCTTTCTTGACTGATGGCTGAGTGATTACAATGCACTGTATTGCCCTTCTCAGCTGGTGTAGAACAAGAGTTTCATCCACTGAAGGCAAAAGGCTTATGAGAATTTACATTAACCAGGAGTCTGTGACTAAACTACTGTGTCCATGCATCCCGTTTGCAAGCTCTTCATTCCCTGCAACTGTCCTCAAGTTCTTTGAGCCAAAAGAGCAGGATTTCTAGCTGGCCAGCATATGAACCCCTTCTAGTCACTGAACTTGTCTTTCAGGCATCATGGAAACTGGCTTTTTCAGGGAAGCAATACCTGAATCAGAGGAGAATTCAGCCAGGTTGCAGGTACAGTGCAGCATGGCTCTGAAAGCCCAGGACATGTTCACCATCCTACAGGGACCATCATTTGTTTACATGGCAGTAGGACACCAAGGATGGGCAAGGTGTGTGTGTGTTATGGAATCACAGAATCATGGAATGGGTTGGAAGTGATCTTAAAGATCACCCAGATCCAACTCCCTGCCATGGGCAGGGACACCTACCACTATCCCAGGTTGCTCCAAACCCCATTCCAGCCTGGCCTTGGACATTTCCAGGGATGGGGCAGCCACAGCTGTTCTGAGCAACCTGTGTCAGGCCTCCCCAGCTTCACATGGAAAAATTTCTTCCCAATATTCCATCTAAGCCTACTGTCTGTCAGTTTAAATCCATTACACCTTGTCCTATCACTCCATGCCCTTGCAAAAATTCTCTTCCCACCTTTCTTGCAGAATCCTTTCAGGTACAGGAAGGTTTTGGAAGAAGGCAGATCTGCATTCTGCCATCTCATTAATGCTGCACATTACTGGCAGTGGATTCAAGTGACAGAGGCCTGACTGTCACAGCCGTGTGGCAATGAAATGACACAAAGATTTCCAGTGCCCCCGTTCAGTTCTGAATGAACAGCTCTTCCACAGCAATTCCACAGGCTTTTGCCCTGACCCTGCTGCTCCTCCCTGAGTGACTGAAGAACCTGACAAGACACAGGGTAACCAAACAAATAAATGTTTGCAGGAATTGCTCTTTACTTTCTCCAGGTACCATTATTAGAACTTACACTTTTCACCTGAATCTATTTCATTAGTATTTGCACATATGATGTTTAGTGTGGTCAGAGATGTTCCTTATAGAGGCTTTCCTCATTAAAAGTGGCCTGCAAAAAACCTGAGCATCCTTTGCTTTGCACCGTGTTTAGCCAAAGACCTGACCAAAATATGCTAAAATTTAGATGTATTTTCCTTTCAGTCGGATTATCCTTTGAAACTGTGAGCAAACCCTGCCTGACAACACAAAGGAATTTTCCCATGGATCAGCTAAAGCTGACTCACATGAAAGACTTGCCCAAAGTGGTCATGCCCTCTGAGCAAATACCACAGGCATGAGGATCTCTGCTCTTGGCCTAACAGCACTGTTAGGATTCCAGGCACCCAGCCTCAGAAGGCAGCTTTTATTGGAGGAGGGGTGGTCTCCTACCTGTGACCCAGCCAATCTGCTCTCTTATTTATCTGTGTTGCTAACTTGCAGTGGAGGCGAATGTTTTGCTCTGTCACTGCACTGTTGCGAGAAATTTCCTGCCTGGCCCCCAAAGTTCACCAAATAGCACTGGCTGTTTGCTTAAGCAGGTACAGCACACAGCAAAAGGCACTGCTGTGACTCAAAGAAGGAAAGAAAGAAAATCATCTGATCATGAAAGCTTTCAGCACCAGGTTTTAGTGCTGGAGTGAAAACCTAACGGAAGCTGTGCACCCTTCTAAGATAAATATTTCCTCTGCTGGAGTTGCTGAGTCTATCACACATCAACAACCAGGAAGGCTTTGCTTACTCATCCCTGCCACGTGTTTCTGGAGTGGTTTTCTGCTCTCTTAATATTACCAAGGAGTGCATCCTCTGGCTGCCCTGGCTTGTTAGAAAGGCAAGCACATGCTGAGCAAAGCGTCAGAACAGCCCACAAAGCCCTGATGGAAATAGAGACAGAATTTTGCACCACTCATAGAGACACAGAGAGAGTTAAAGCTTCAGGCCAATGTGTTGCTGAAATTTTAAAGCTGAAAGGATTTTGAAATAACCTTTGCATTTTCTCCCTGAACTTTTTGTTTACTCTCTGCTCTTTTGCTCAGTGAAAGTAAAGCAGGCAAGACAACATCACTTGCTGTTTCCAATTGGCTTCTGCTTTGTTTCTAGTACTCCTCTGAAAGAGTTCTGTTGTACAACTCACAGCATTTCAAGAAGACATTTTATTGATTGTGTATCTGTCCCTCACTTTCCATTTTCTCATCACTGATTGCCCTCAAATAATGTTTGGGCTTAAGTTATTTGTAATTTTCCCTTAATCTGGTCCATTTCTATGTTTTATTTTGGGTTTTCAGTAAGCTCACATGTGATGTGTGACAAAATAGAGGCAAAGTCTCTTCTCACATTCCTAAAATATGTGGCAATGGGATTACAGTCTCAAAATTATGTGGCAGCTTCTTTTAAACAGGAAAACTACAGTGGATTTCACTCAACTGTATATAAAAAACAATAGTACACTTGGTGGTAGTCCCTGCATTATTTGTTTTAAATTATGTTCCATTTCATAATCTCTCCACATTATCTATTTCCAATATCCAGCAGATTTTTGTATTGACAAAGGTGTGACTTTTACAGGACACTGTTGTGGAGAAAACCTGTGGTTCGTCTATATGGGCTGAGCATATGTGGCTTCTAACCCTGGGGAGAGCTGCTTGAGTTTGGGATCATCCTATTAGATGGATGCTTCTAATAAAACTCCCAGCAGCCAGAGAGCTTATCTATGTTACTACCACACAGTTCCAGAGCCAGCATTCCCCTCAGCATGAAGGGGGTGAATCCTGAGTGGCATTATTATTCGAGGTTGTAGCTGAGCTTCCACAGTGACTGGAGCTGATCTGAACCAGGGCTACCTTACTCTCACTCTCTTCCTGTAATCCACAAGGTAAAACCATCCTGCTAAACCTGCAGCAAACCCTTCTAAAAAGCAATCAAAGAGTTTTCTGTCATCTTAGCAAGATGTTCTGTGTGGTTTCTTATGGTTCCAGAAGAAACTACTGATGAGAGGTGGCCAGATAACAGAAACTACACCAGAGTTTGAATAAGGGAGCACTGTTCCTTGGAAACTGCTGGAAACATTCATCTGCCCTTCCTTTGGGCTGAAACTGTGAGTGTCCTGCTGCCCTCGCTCTGCACCTCCTCTTTGTTTTCCCCTTGTTGTGATTTATTGGGTTGGATTCTGTGGCTGCTTCTTGGCTGAGTGCAGCTAAGGTATGTAAATTGCTTTTTAACAGCTAATATGCACCCACACTCCTGAAAAGAAAAAAAAGGGCAAAATAATATTATTGGCAGTGAGTTATAGGAGATCAAGAAAGCATCCAGAGGTGAAAGTCAGTGGCTGGCTGGCGAAGTCCTGCAGACTGTCACAGCTGTGTTCAGAATAATCCAAGTGGAGAGCAAGTTTGGTAACTTCAAATTAGGATTTTAAAGGAAAGGACTGCCTCTGTGGCTGCAATACATACTGTGTGCACATAATGAACCAAGCATATTTTCTTTTTATAGGAATTTCAAACCCTAAATGCAGTTTTTCATCCTCTAGTGACATCTCACTACTTGTCCTGACTTGGTCCACTTTAAATAAAGGACACTTTAAATAAAGGTCCACTTTAAATAAAGGGCAATGACCACAACTCTGCTGAGACCCCCCTGCAGGGCTGCACCCAGCCCTGGGCCAGCACAACAAGGACAAGGAGCTGCTGGAGCCACGACAGAGCAGGGACACCAAGGGATCAGAGGGATGGAGCAGCTCTGCTGGGAGGAAAGGCTCAGGGAATTGGGATTGTT